ATTCTACATGAGAACGCTTAACCTTGATATCACTGAGGCGTCATTCAAAGGTGTGAATGCCTAACTTTAATCAATTCAGGATATTGTACAATCCAACAATCAGGTGTAACTCCTAGAGCTTTGAGAACTTCTTACACACGAGAAGTGATTACCTGTTACATTACATGTTTCTATAAAGGGTTTAAAACATTATTCGAAACTTTACTAGTGTTCATTTCAGTAATTATTAACAAGAACTGAATATCTAGGTAAATGTAGATATTCCTTTATGAACTTGTGAACCAATCTAAGTTAGACCACTACTAAAAACATAGCAACACTAGACAGCCAGTTCTTACTGGTATGGGTTTTCTTAGCAGTACCTATCTACGACCCCACACGCAGGACTTGATCACAAAACGAAACAACTGTCTAGTGCTTTCAGTTTTCCACTCGTGGTCTGGTTAAGATTGGTTCGTGGTTTCAACTGAGAAAATGCAACGTGATTGAAGTAATATTCAAGAAAAAATGAAAATATTTACTATTCCAAACGACGTGTTCCCTTTCTACTAATAAAAAGGAAGAGACATAAAGAAATTCACTGAAGTTAAATTAAGAATTCAGTTCAAGTCTATGCCCTAAAACATTGATTTTCTATAGATTCATTTTACATTGATTATTAGGTGTATTTTAAGTGGAACTGACTGATGATTATTTATTAACATTATTAATATGATTCATGTCATTAAATTAAGTAATGAACTTAGAGATTCTGTTAAGACGTTCATATACAATCCTACCTGATAATTATCTACGTGGGATTAATATGAATAAATTATATTTTTATTAGATCCATTTCAGCCTCTTACAATCTGAAATAGTTGGATATTATAATTATGTTACGTCTGGCCGATTGTGAACGCTATATTCGCTTCCCTAAGCTAGTTCCGTACCCCCGAGCTAGAACTATACACTGACTTGAAGACCAGAGAAAAGGCACAAAGTATGAGGGAAGCACTTTACTACAGGTTTCCTTTATGTACAGAAAATATGGGGATTTTATAGTAATTTAAGAGTCCTTGAGTTTTTACTGAAAGTTCTAGAATACTGCTAAACATAGTAGCAGTGTATTAATCAGCCAATCAGGATCTCCACATGTGACTTTTCCATTTTCAAAGTTGAAATCATGAGTCAATTGAAGTTAGACCACCATCGAAAACCTGGAAGCACTGGACGGCCGTTTCGTCCTATTATGGGACTCCTCAGCAGTGCGCATCAACGAACCCGCTCTCGCGAGATTCGAACCCAGGACCTACCAGTCTTGAACCGATAGACCGATAGACGATTTTCATTATTTTAGTAACATAACTTCACATAAATTCCAATTAATTGCTGATTGGTTGATGACTCACGAGCTTGTCATATCGCTTGCGTGAAAATTACAGGGTCATCCCAACAAATTACGGAATAAGTTGGAAATATTTAAATGTATGAATTTAGTTGGAGGTATTTTTCTAAAACACAACAGCATAGTATAACAGTGATGCAAATAAATTTACGAAACTAAATGAAATCGGTATATGGCAAGACATTGCATTACCTAGAACACTGCAGCCAAGCTACTAATACTACATAAAATATCATGTTCAATAATTCAAAGGTTTACTGTTACCCTCTTTCATGTTGCCGCCAAATGAGTCCAATGTATTTATATATACCTACTGGGGTAGTTACATTATTTGTACAGAAAGAAATAATTATCCTAGGTTTGTTGAGTTAGTTACAAAAAGTTATTGGTCAGCTGGGAGATAAACTTCAAATAACTCAATCCCCCAATATTTCTTTGACACAGGAAGTCAGGCCAATACTGCAAAATTTCCCAAGGTGAACAATCAACAGTCACACTCTAGTTTTCTGAGTTTTGTTGAAACTATTACTATCAGGCATCAGAAACAGTGATTTAGAATCAGAAAGGGGTTTTGTGGATATTATAATAATTTAATAGTTGAATTCATAAATCAATTAAAGTTAGAACGCCATGGTAAACCTGGAAGCACTGGATAGCCATTTCTTCCTAGTATGGGAATCCTCAGCAGTGCGCATCCACGACCCTGAACGTCGGATTCGGACCCAGTATCTATTGGCCTCGTGTGCGAACATCTAACCTCTAGATCACTGAGCCGGCATTCAATGGTGTTAATACCTAACTTCAACTTTATTTGACTCATGAATTCAACTATTAAATTACTATAATATCTATAAAACCCCTTCTGGTAATAATCATATACTCATTAGTGACTAGTTTCATGAGGTATTTCCTGGAGTTCTAGTGAGAAGCCATGAGAAGTGGAGTTCAACCGGGTCTGTTGTGAGATTGTAACTCAATGAAGACAATAAAGAACATTCGCGCAATATCATGGATTGGTTGTAGTCAGACATTGATTAATGGTCTGGTGGTTAGGCGTTTGCTCGCGAGACCGATAGGTTCTGGGTTCGAATCACACGTGCGAGGTCGTGAGGAGTCCCATACTAAGATAAAACGGTCATCAATCTCAGTGGTTTCGGGTTTCCCATGGTAGTCTAGCTTTAGTAGACTCAACTATTAATTTAAAATGATTTGTAAATTCAAAAGGAAATATTTATCTTACCTCTGTGATACAAACTATTTTCGTTTCCTTACAACATTCTGCTCAACTTTTGGTCTTGGTTTATTACATGATTGATGCTCACTCCGAGATTCCAACTAACTGCTTTCCCCTTAGAACCATGAACGTAATATTCACCTAGCTACTGACTCTAGGTCGCCATTAACCCGTACAATAGATTCCACTGCAAACCATATTCCATTCCTTCTATATAAACCTGTGACATAATAGCCAAATAGAGATATTCCGCTAATTATGTACATATATAAACTAAGATTGATTGAAATTCAGTCAGAATATCAAAAAAATGATATTTTAAATCATTAGGATTAAATATTGTATGATAAACTACGTCAATGCTTAACTTCATGCCAACTTTATCTTCGTTCTCACGTTTATTCAGTACACGGAATAGGTTTTTTTTTCAAGAAAGTTAATAAATTCATCACCAACTTTTTGAGCTACCTTTATAGACAAAGATAATCACATATACACATTTATTAATAAGTGGTTTTCTGTTTATGTTTATTAGTTTTCATCGTTTATAATAACCGATTCGATATTATTTATTCCCAGACTTAACTGTGAACAAATAGAATGAAATGAGGGAAACTGACATAGACTAAATTAGAGATTTTATCTATCAAACAAATTATGTAAATATCTTTTCACTACAAATATTGTCTTTAAGCTTAGTAAGTAAAATGTCAGTTGTAAAAAAGATTCGAACTTTCATATGGTTTTCACGCTACAACCTGTTAACAACGTACTAATCGTGCCTGAAAGTGAATCCTGGTATTAGAAAGAGATGGTTATTTTCCGCATTTGATATTTCGAATGTCAACCAATCAGTTTCATTTATCGTGTTTAAATGTTAAACGGATTACTTCAGCATAGTTTTTAGTCACAAGATTTTAGTACATTTTGTACGTAGCTAGCATTGGATAGCGTATTACCGTTTCAAGCAAAAAGCACTGAGTTTGAGTTTCGATGGAGACATAAACACTAGGTTGTATTCATTATCGGCTAATGAGTTTCAAATAGGACGTAAGACCTGAATTCCTACAGTTAACCGAAATGTTAATAAACTATAAATGGGTCAAGGTTATGCAACACTAAAGGTTGTGATATTTTTCATTTTTTGAATAAGCGTAGAGGTTGAATACTGGTTCAAACCTACTGATCACATAGCGAAATACATAGTCTATAGTTAACAGCAATCTTTTAAAATACATAAAAGTGATAATTATTAGTTTATCCTCACAGAATATACAAACTTTCAAACTGTGTTAACCAAAAAGTCGAGTCTTTCATTTACATAACGTAGTTCATCAAATAACTGAAAATAATGATTTCTAACATTGTACTGAAGGTTTGTATGTGTTTTTACCCAATTAGAAATTATGAAAACAGTGAAACAATTAGATAAGTTCGTCATTGCATTTCTGAGCGATATATGTCATCTTAATATCAGACATACAACTTGAGTATGCAAAACAGACAGAAATCCTATATATTTTCTGCTAATTATATCTGAACACCAAATATTAATTATATGGGATCATAGTGTAAAGCTATCTGCCTTGGTAAATATAGTTCATAAAATGATTAAACGAATTCGATTATTATTTAATAATATTCAGTGAATTACTGTGATATACTCTCATAGTAGGAAACAACTAACTAGGTCTAACAGATAATGTTGATTACTACTAATTAAAGAACTGGCATAACTGTTGATAATGATGATGTACTACTTCTATGTTTATATAGAAAACATACATTTAGATGGTTATCAATTATGTGTAGAGTTTAAAATGACTCAACTACTTATAAAGTAATATTAAGTTTATATGTATAATACATTAACTCTCTATCTCCAATTGTTGAATAATAAGCAAAAATGAATAGTGGCTAGCAGTGGAATCCACGACGCGCGTTTCGCCCTATTTGGGACTCGTCAGCTGGATGTTGATGTTCACTCAAACAAACAATACTAAATGTTAAATAATAGAATAAAACATTCAAATGTGATCTAAAATAAATGATCTCTTCTCTAATATTCATCCTATCATTTAATTCATTCACATAAAGAAAAAAATTTGATCTCAATTATTATTCCTAATTTCTTAATATCAAAGCTAATAAATGATTGGATAAAATTATTAACCAATCAAGATACGACAAATGATATAATGTATGATTAAGTTTAAAAATAAACGAATCATTTTCTTAAATGAATACGTGATTATGTTTACTATCCATAGTTGTTAGTGTTTAAAATAGATCAAAGATCTAATTCAAGTTTCAAAAAGATTTACTTTTTATTCAATGTTATTCTTATCTTATCTAATGAATTGATTATTCATAATTATAATGAATATAAAACAATCAGAGATGATGAATACAATACATCATTATGGTTCTACACGTATACAATGTTATCTTTGTGATTTACCACGTTATCCATGGGCAATGTTATCAGAATTTAGTGAATTAGTATGTCGTGGTTGTGTTAATTATGAAGGAGCTGATAGAATTGAATGTGTTATTAATCGTGCAAAATTAATGAAAATGCATTATTTACCACGTATTTATAATCAAAAAATTATAAATGATAAATTAGATGATATACAATTGAATATACCAATCACAACAACAACAACATCATCATCATCATCATCAACAACAACAACAAGAACAACAATAGATGAACGTAATCATTCAATAAATGATTTAAATTTGGAACAAAGAAAATCTCCATTAGATTTAAACAAAAATTTTTTATATAAAACACAAATCAATAAAAATTTAGAAATAAATCGATTTATTGATTCATCACATTATTTAAATAATATCAATCAATTAAATGATGAAATTCATAAAGATTTAAATATTTTAACTGGAACTAATAATAATATACTACAAACAGGATCTGAAGTAGTAGTACCTTCATCAACATCATCGACAATCTCTCATAATAATACCCATTTATTACAAGATGAGAATTTATCATTAAATCGATTAAATGGAACCCAAAATATTCTATCCAATTATGATACACGTTTAAAAGATATTTTTATGAATATTTTAAAATATTCAACATTTCAATCATTGATTAATTCAAATTCATCATTATTTACGAATATAAATACAAAACCAATTTTAGTATTAGATGATCCATTACAGAATACAAATTCAATAGATGATCATTCTATAAGAAATCAATTCAATAATAATGGTAAACGAGTAATTGTATCACCTCATCATGATGATGTTGTTCTATTAAATAATATAATCAATTCTTCATTATTAAATATCAATAATACAACAACTAGTACATTAAATACTAATGAAGTCGATCCATTGAATACTGTTAAATTAATTAATAATTTTGTATCTGAGAACTCTATAGATTCAAGTACAAGTACAGAACAGAAACATAATTTAAATTCAGAATTTACATTACAATCACCTTGGAATCCTCGTCTTTTAACAACATATTTACAAATAATTAGTAATCTTTTAGGATCGAATCCTTTATTTACTAATGATAATAATCAAATATCATTAATATCTAATAATTTGAATAAATTAACCGATCAGAATAAAATTAACTTAACCAATATTTTTGATTCATCAGAACAAATAATTAATTCAGTAATTAATCATTCATTTTTAAATGAAAATATACAAAATGGAAAATTATCTAAATTTAATTTAAATTCAATTAATTCTCATTTATTTATTGCACAAAATTTAAAATTACCTATTTTAATAAGATTACGTAATCAACCAACTATTCAAGCTTATTTTTTAGGACTTAATCATAATACCATTTTAAATGATCATTTAAATTTACAACAAAATAATTTAATGAATATAATGTTTTTTGAATATCCTATTGGTTCATCTAATATCTGTACTGGTTTTAATCAATTTATTAAATTGATTAATACAAAACTTATTCATGAGCATAATAATGATATAATGAATAATATTGGAGAGATACAATTAGGAATTGATCATTTTGAATATGAAATTGCTAGAGATAATATGAATCAAATTATATGGGCACCATTTATTGATTTAATTTTATTAATTCTTCAATTAATATCTCAACCATTAATACAAAAACAAACAAATACTATAACACAACTATTATCTAAAGATTTATTAAAACAAATTAATATAAATAATGATACAATAGAAGATGAATTGAATTTATCAAAGAAACGAAAATCTTATGATTATAATTCTGAAGAGATTGTAAGTAGTCAATTATGTGACATCAATAATAAACAACTACGACTTTCTTCACAATCTGAATTCAATGGAATTAAAAGTAATTGTACTAATGATAATATGAATAGTTTATTAGATAAATTAAATGATCCATGTAAAAAATGGAAACCATTAATACAACATAGAAAATCACCAAATAAACGAATTCTATGTAATTTATGTCCACGTCATTTAGAAGGTAGTCATTTTGTTCAATGTCCTGCTAATATAGAGCATAGATTTTGTTTTCAATGTGCTAAAATTTATTTAGAAAATATGATGAATGAACATAAGAATGGTAATATGAATAATTTGAAAAATTTAGAAATTTATTGCCCTAGTGGTAAAAAATGTGTTCTACCAGGTTCTAAATATCCATGGGCATTTGTAAATTCAGAAATAACTGCAATTTTAGGTAAAACACAATTAACTACTGATTATTCATCTCGTTATGATCAAACATTATCATTAGAGAATAATAATGTTTCAGAAAAACTATCAACTCATAATCTGTTAACTAATAAAATGAATACAAATTGTAATATGAATACAATAAGTAATTGTCAAGTGGAAAATATAACACGTAATAGTATATCACAATGTTCACTAAATAGTCAACAAGATAGTTCTGAAATTTTATCTCCTCAAAATATAAACTGTAAAACTCCATCAGAATCTTCAACTAAACTATCATCAAATGAAACATATTTATTATCTAGTAATAAATCAATAAATGGAGTTAATACACCATTGAATTATAATGACACTATTAATAATAACCAGTCGAAATTAATGAAATCATTTAAAGATAATCATGTAATATGTGGAAAGTTGCGTAATCAAAAACATTCTACATCAACATCATTATCATCATCATTGTCTTCTTCTTCTTCTTCTTCATCAGCATCATCTCCGCCACCACTAATAATGACAACAACAATTATAACTTCAACTAACTTGTCCTCAACCTTATCTTCTTCATCATCATCATCACCATCATCTCTTATCATTAAATCAAATGAAGTAAGGAATAAGCCATCATTGAATACAGTACTAACAACAACAACAACATCAGCATCAATGGGACAGATTACAGAGAATAATACACTTAGAAGTAACATTGAATTGTCATCCACTGAAATGAATAGTATTTCAGATGATAATGATTAATTTATTTCTGATTTCTTTATCAAAATCATTTCATCCTTTTTTATTATTTCAAAACATGCAATCAAATTACAAAAACAACAGTAATAGTATTAGTAGTATGATCAGTGATATGAGTAATATCTACAACGATAAGAATGTGAAAACAATAACCATTTTGTTTATTTATTTTCATTGTACAAAGTTCAATTATTATAAATGACCTCTTTTCTCTTTTTTCTTGTCTTATGTTACGTTTTTTTGGATTAATTTCTTGTGTACTACTTAATAGAACTACTTATATATTATAAATAATTCATTATTATTATTACTATTATTTCTTAAATAATAATTTATTTTGAGAAGAAAACGTATAACAAAAAAACATAATATTCTTCTGAAAATGTTAGTTTGATTGTTGATATCTCTTTTTTCCAGCGGGTGGGAAGAGGAAAGTTTAAACTGAAGGTTATTGATTAATGAAATGATAATAATAATAAGGAGTAAAGTCAATTCACTAATAGATAGTTAAAATCATGAGTCAGTTGAAGGTAGATCACCATAGAAATTATAGAAGCAATGGATGGCCGTTTCGTCCGATTATGGGACTCTTCAGCAGTGCGCATCCATGATCCCGCCTCGTGAGCGAGATTCGAACACAGGACCTATCAGTTTCGAGAGCGAACGCTGAAACTCTAGACCACTGAGTCGGCATCAAATGGTGTTAAGGTCTAACTTTAAACGATCTACAAAATTAAGAGTTATATTCACCTTTGTCTTCAGCGAGTTGATATATCTACAACAGACTTGGTTGACTTCCACTGCTGAGGAGTCCCATAATAGGACGAAACGGTCGTCCAGTGCTCCCAGGTTTTCGATGGTGGTTAGCTTCAACTGACTCATGATTTCAACTATGAAAAATCTCAAATCGACTAACAATACATTTGTAAAATATATTTGTACACTACAATGTCTTGCCTAATGTAATGGTTCTTTTGAGAATAGAGAAATCGATGTTTATATAATTTATCTATTTCAGTTAAGAGTTTTTAGAACATTTCATCACAAATCGATATTAATATTCACTGTCTATAATTACATAATGAATATGAATACAGTTTGATTTTGGTAATTAATTTTGCATTTCATAGATATGTGTTTTACTTACAGAAACAATTACTTATATAAAATCCCTTTAATAACTCTTTAAGTGTCGATAATTATTTAAGTTACAAGCATTTATAGCGAAAATGATCTTCGAGTCATATCAATTGCTTGTTATTTGTCGATGATTGGTGTTAAACTGTATTAACTTTCACTGAATAATGATAAGAGTATTTTGAATGAACTGCATTGAATCGCCTTTACGTACATTAATAATAAACTTTTACATTCTACTTGATAATAATTCAAGTAGTGTTTCAGTGTTTATGCCACTGTGATTTGAATAGTGAGCACTGTAAGTTAGCATGAATAGTTTTCGACTCTCGGTAGCAAGTAGAAATATTCTCCCATTATCTTTCATGATATCAGACAAAAGATGATATCAAGCATATCACCCATTATGGAAAAGCTATACAATCGATTGATTACTGAGTAGTTATCAATGTCATAAATGTCATTTAGATCTTTGTTCTGATTGAAGTATATCGACTGAGTTATAATGCGGCTTTTAGTATAAGTGACTCAACTCGCATGCAATGTGTTGATACTAAAGGTAGTCGACATTGATCAATAGATTGTAAACATATCACAATCCTCTAGGAAGTCAGTTGCTGATGAAGAGCACGTAATCTAGGCCCACCGTTTTCTGTCGCTTACCTCCAACTACAAAATATATATGAACATAGAGAGAGAGTCATTGTTGAGATTTTCACTGAGTTAGTATGCTAAATTGATAAAATAATGTTTTCCAAACGCAAACGTCACATCGTATATTATTGTTAAACTATGTGAATTTCAGGTAAGAACGAGGATCGTATAAGACAATTTAAACGTAAATCATACCATAAGTAGTAGAGTATTTGAGTAGATATGTCAGTAATTATTACTTAACAAGTGGAATTTACGGTTTCGTAAAATTGGTCAGTTAGAGTTCTTAGTGTTTCGTGATATCTGATAAGAGAAGTTGGATAATGGGTTGTTTTGAAATCCAGTACGTGTGTTTCATCTCACTCGAAACTTGTTAGTGAGGCGAGCTCGGAATCAAGTTGATGGTCACATTGGGACTCGAGCTCAGTCCCTCTTGACTCAAACACCGACGCGTCATCCATTTGGTTACTGATCCCATAAAGCAACTGGCCCGTATAACATGGTGAATTTCAATTTATTTGTGTTGCTTTTTTCAGTTAAGGTTATGAACTACAATTGATCATCTGCATTCAGCTGACGAGTACCAAATAGGACAGAACGCACATCTTGGGTTCCACTGAGAGCCACTATCAAACTCTTGTGACAGAATCGTAATGTCGAGACGATGCTCATACGTTGCAAATAGGCCACAAGAGATGGATCAGTCGCAGTCCATTAGGACTTTAGGCTTGGATAGCAAGTGCTTTTTAGAATTCCAGGTTTTCTACAATTTCAGGACTATTGTCTTTGTTTTTCCAGTCCGTGCCTACATATATACCTCAGATACCCTTGGTCTATTAATTGTGCTGCACATGTATGTGGGAGCGTTCTTCTCTTCCGAAAATTCGCCATCAGTTGTGGTTCATTTGATAGTCACTGCGTTAAATTTCGGAGATTTTCCTTTTTTCTTGTGAATGTCAAAGCCTACATCTGCAAAGGTTGCTGTTACACCGACTGTCTTTGCCTACATTTGTTCACGTGTATGTGATAGAAGTGCTAAATCACCTGCAAAATATACATCATCTAGCTTCTTCCAGGCTATCCAATGTACTCCATGATTCTCCTGATGTGTGAAAACCTTTGTACTCCAGCCGACCATCGGAAGAAAAAGAAAAGGAGAAAGTTCGCAGCCTTGTCTGACATCGCTCTCCACTCGTAATGCATCTGTAAACTGCTCTTCATGCACGACTTTGATGTGTAGCCCGTTTGACGACTTATGATAATGACAATCTTCATAGGGACACTATAGAGCCGAAGAAGGTTCCATAAAGTTCTTATAATCAAAAAGGTTGATGTATGGTGATAAGTTCTATTCAATCGACTGCTAAACAATGAACTATTTTGTAACAATTCGGTCGATGCACGATCGATTCTTACGAAATCCAGCTTAATGATTTACTTAATCTTCCATCCAAATACACATTACTGCTGAAAACTTTGCCCGGCACTGACGGTAGTGAAATATCTATATGGTTTTCACACTTACTAAGATGGTGCTTGATAAGGTATCCCACTTCTCAGGTCTTAATACTTTTCTTCCTCCCAAATCCTTCTGAATAGAATCTGGAGCATCTTTGCAGTTACTTCTATATCTGACTTCAGTGCTTCAACTGATATGTTATTTGATCCTGGTGCTTCCCCAATATTGATTTGTCTGGTGGTCATGATGGTTTGTTTCATTATTTGTGGGGTGACGTCTATAGGAAGGTTTTTGTGTGCTTCTTCGCTGTCCGACGGGTTCGTTGGGGCTGATCTGTTTAAGAGCTTTATAAAATACCCTATCCACCTACTCCGCTGTTCTGGAAACAGTAATTATTTTGCCATCTTTGTCTTTGACTTAAAACTCTGGTTTATGCAATTTTCCAGGTAGCTTCCCGGTTGTATTTTATGTTTGTCTCATATTCCCTTCATAAGCAGCTTTTCCCGATGTTATGACAAGTTATTCCATGTATTTCCGCCTGTCCACTCTATTTTGCCTCTTCATTTGCTTTTTTGCTTCTGTGTATTCAGTATGAATCTTGGCTTTCTCTGCTCTTGTTTGACCGTTATTGATCAGCCTTCTTGTACTTCCTTTCTTGAATCTTGCTCCGAGTATCAGTAAAGATACACACTTTATAACAGTGTTTTTTGCAGCCTAATATCTCTTGACATGTTGAAGTGATTGCTTCTTTAATCTCTTTCCAGTTGTTCACCATAGTAGTTTCATATTCTTTGAGTATATATTGAAGGTTTGAGACTTATTACTAAGAGTTGTATTAAATTCGCTGAGTTTATTAGTATCTTGAAGGAAGGCTGTATTAAACCTTTGTAATGTTGTTTCTCTAGTTGTCCAGTGCTCCTGTAGCTTAACTTTCATCTTGGCCACAACTAGATGGTGATCTGAAGCTATATCAGTTCCTCTCTTTGTTCTCACATCTTCCGTTGTCCTTCTGATTATTTTAGTAACGCAAATATAATCGACCTAGTTATCTGTAGTATGATTTGGTGAGACCTATGTAATCTTGTGTATGTGTTTTTGGTAGAATATAGTGCCGTCCATAAACATTTTGCTGAAGGCACAAAAATGTGCAAATCTCTCAGCATTTTCGTACCTTTATCCTAGACCATGTCGTCTCATGATGTCTACATAGCAAGTCATATCCACTTTGACCTTCGCATTCAAGTCTTCCATCAGCATGGTCATGAACATTCCTAGACACTTCTCCACGACTGAATCAAGCCTCTCATAAAGTTGATCTTTATTATCGCGACTGCAATCATTGGTGTGTACGCAGCACTGAATGACTTCAATGTGATCACTTCTGGAAGTTATGAAATCCCCATTCATTTGGGATTGCCCACGTTTTCCCATGCAATATTTTCCACAGTTGACAAAATTTATTTTGTAAATTGTATTGTACTTGTCTTCCTTTAGTTTTCTGTCTTTATGTCCGCACAAAATCGAATGAAGCGACAGTGTTGGTGTAGGGGTGATGTTGATGATGAACGGCTTCAGGATCTTTGTAACGATTGTTCACCACTTGTGTCTACAGAAAGAAATTATATATATATATATATAATATCATATATATGCTGTCTCTGAATAGTGTGGTTGGTGTGATCCCGAGTTTTTATTATTCTAAATGATTACTAAAAGTTCCAAGGAGAAGCTACAACAGGTAAGGATTCAATCA